GGCGCGGCACGGTCGACGGCGCTAGCGGTCCGAACGAAGGCAGCCGATATCAACCGGACCGCTCAGTCGGAGTTCTCTTCGCGTTCTTTCGTCTTTCAGAACTGTGGCAACGGCAACCTAAACCGTCAACGGGATTGCAGTGTGGTGGTCAGTTCAGTCGTTGCCATCTGCAGCAATTGGAGCTATCGCTTCTGTTACCTTGGCTGGTTGCTTTTAAACGGTGCTGATATCAACAGAAAAAGGCCGCTTTAGACGATCACTGGAGACATTGTACCACAGGACCGTGTTGACAGTGCTCGCAGCGCCAGCACGGAGTGATGCGACTGGACGTGATGGCATCGGCGTAGACATTTCGGTATAGGTAGCAGTGGCGAAGCCGAAACGCGCTCCGGGGAGACGGCGCATACCGCTATGCAGTACCGCTATATCGAACGTGTCGTTGTGATCAGCTGACTACGGATAGTCACAACGGCAGCTGTAGATACATGGAGCGAGGCAACTGATTGATACAGGGGTCCGTTTGCCTGCTTGTCCGGTCCGCTAGCTGACCGGCTTTAAATGGGTAAATGTGAACGCGGATGTTCGACTGTGGGGCATCCATAAAATTTAGCACAGCGTTCAGTTCACAGTCATAGCATAGTAGCAACGGACAGCGAGGAGCACAAAGGTGTGGCTTGTATGCTGTGCCGATTGATACCTTCCATGTGCAATAGTTAAACAGGTGACCATTAGTCCATCGAGGAAACACTGTTTTATAGAACTTCCCTGACCCAAGACTTGCAACCAAAAACCCGCCAAAAAAAAATAGGCATCCAAAGGGGTTACACAATTTGACTGCGATGAAATCAACAGAGCTTGATTGCGTCTTTTATGGTAAGTTCGCATATGCAAAATCATTAAAAAATCGCATCTATTGACTGATTCAAGGCGGACGAAGGCTGACGCAGGCTAATGGTACCTATTTCGTGCGGTCGAACTCGTGATTTTCGTTGAACACGGGTCGCACAATTTAATGGCATAGGTTATTGTCATACAGTGTTTCGCAAATAAACATCAAGTGCAATTTCGCTAGAGCTAAAGCAAGACTCTACCTTTTTGGCAGTAGAAAACATAACGGAAATTAGGAAACAGATCATCGATCATTGGATTATCGGGGGAACAAGTTAACAATACCCTATCCATTATTATCTGCATTGAGGCAACTATCGATAACATCAGATCTTATGAACACAGCTTAGAAACGTAGTTCAACCAGCTATATCTATGTGAAGACATAATACATGCCAAGCTACGATCTATTTGTTTTAATGCCTGCGCTACGTTAAACCAGCGGAAATCCAACTTTGTGCATTCGCGCTAACTTGTCTCTGACTTAAGGTACGAGGCCGCCACTGACTGACATAGAGTTTTTGTTTATAAATTCGACCACACGCTACATGCCACATTCGTGAGCGAATGAGTGGACGGCGTGCGTATCGAAATCTACTAACAACGATGTCAATACCGAACCTTCGCCTATTGATACGCACGTTTGACGTCTTGCTACAATAGCGACAGCATTGCAGACTCGTCTGCGTTTCTTTGTTTTTTCACCTATGCGTATTTATAAGCATGTAGTGCTCTAAAAATTATTATTGAATCTTGGAACTAAGCAGCCGTCGCCGTTTGATTCGTTCTGTAACAAGTAGCATCACACACGTACGACACCCGACTATTCTATAATCAAACACCTGGGCTTATAAACTCAGTCCTGGTGTTTGAAGAAATAATCTTCTTTAAGCTTACAAACCAAACGTTCGTCACTTTTCCCAATTAAACGTAAAATAGGTTTAAATTTGCTTGACCTAAACTGCTTCCTCGACCTGTTGGGTTTCTATTATCATTTCCTTGCACCCGTTTCCTTCTTTCGACTATTGTTGTTTTCTTTTTGAGGCTCTCTCATCACTGGATTTCAGTGAATCCTTTACGCCTTCCGGGTCATTCCGTTACCTTTCCCTGTTACACCGTCATAGCTTTGTCAATTCGATCACTTTGCTTCAATAATCCACTTACTTCGCTACGAATATTCGGTTACTCTGAACACTGCACTATTGTAGCCTATTCACTTGTTGCCCGTTCGAGATGATGCCGTTATTTCAAAATTGAATTTCTATTAATTTATAAAATTCTCTATGCATATTAAACCGCAAAAAGCTACACTTTGTGCCTATTGTATAAATTTTAAAAAAAAGAGACAACCATTTTCCCAGTTTACTTAGTTGGACTCGAGATGAAAAACGTTATACATTTCAATAAAACGTTATTTTAGCTTAAATAGGTCGTTTTTTGGTCAAGTGACACCCACATGCAAAAAGACACAAAATCGCTTGAACCATTTTTGAGTTGGTTGGTGCACTTTATTTATAGCTGTTTTTTTTATTTAAGGATATAGAGTATCCGTATACTTTTATTGTAGTGTCCAAGAGTTCCCAAGGACGAAAGTCCTGAGGCACGCGAATCTGAGTGTCGGCGGTTACTTCTTCATTGTCGGCTTCTGTTTGATTGTTTTTTTTTGCGTTTGCTATGTACATACACTGAATATGTATCACTTACTATGCAGCCGTAGGGAAAAATTATGTAAGTATTTATTAAGCCCTTATAGATACCTCCTATACGTGCTCCGAATAATTGTTGCTTTGCTTAGACTGATACCATGTGAAGAGGCTTATTTATACACGTACGAATTCAAACGTCAGTTTCTTAAAACATCAGGTCAACTGGTACTATCTTCACCAAGCCTCACTTTCGTCACCACAAACTGCTTACGTTTAGCAGTTTTCAGTAACCGAGAACTTCTGTTTGCTTATGCTCCAAATGGAATAAAACGACTCGCGTACACAGAGTTTTATAATAATATCCTGTATTCAATTTTGTTTGAGCAAAGAACTGTTTGAATATGTTTAATATATGGCTAAATGCGACGCTGTAAAGTGACTATATCTAGGCTGTAGTTTCTATGGGACAATGGTTACCGCACTTATTAAGACTTGTGGTTAACCTATTCGATCGTTGGTCACAGACGATATCGTTTGGCGAACCAATACTATGACCGATACTATTGCCAATGCAACGTTGTCTAAAAGTGGTGAAATGGCAGTTTGATTATTTCTGGGCAAACAGTCGCACAAGCTCTCGATAGATCGTAACCATTGGAAATACGCGATCCGAGTAGAAATTCAGGCCATCAAGGTTGATATTGATCACTTCGGAATTTTAAATCACTGTCGTTAATTTGCTAATCAACTAAAGAGAAAAACATATTTGCTTCAAGTAAATCCAAGGGTACAATTGAAGAAATCGATCTTCGCTTTTGCTAAAAACGGGGCTAACTGACGCAAATCGAGGCATATTAGGGTTTTATCGATGTACCATATTCACTACCGTACTGAATTGTATAGTTTTGGATGAACAGTTCATCTGTGGAGCAGTACAAGGTGACTGCATCAAGTCAGAAAAAGTAGACTTAGTCATCAAAGAGAACGATATAGCCGCAGGGACAGCTTATCATCCTGATAATATTGTTGGCATTGGTGATTTTTCGAGAATACATATATTCGAGAGATATAATAGATATATTAGCCTCACTCAAACCGTAGCAAATTCTTTTTCTGTTAAAAAAAAAAAGTCACAGAGCGTAAAGAAATCCAATATTTATATAGGATGGCCCTTTTTTTAATATGAAATAATAGCCCGTTTATCACCACAGTCCATTATAGCCCCCTTTTAACTAAGCCCAACTTGCTTGATTAATTCAAACATCTGAATTAGTTAACTGTTTCTGATGGCACTGCTGTCACTAAGCCAATCACGACGACGCGCCCAGCGTAAACTCGCGTTTTGAAAAGGTTTAACAGGAAGTTAGCCATAGACAGTTAATGTGTTGATCAACTGAACGCGGACAACGGCCGAATTGTTAGCTGAATTGTTTTATATTACCAATTTCATATAGCCAATATGATTTCAATGTTCGCTAGCTAATAAGCCTAACTATACTGTTTAATTTTACACGCGTCATATGTGTACGTCATAGATATTACTCAACGATTACACTGGTTAGGGAAAACCAAACAAACAATTCAAACAAGCAATGCATAAGGGCAGCTCGTGACGTAAAATTCAATTTCAAGTTACAATCAAAAAGTACTACCAGTCCATCTTAATTTAAAGTCCACAAAATTTCAATATTTCTATATCAATGTCTCTAAAAATAATTATTTACATATGCTTTCCTAGTAAGTAACCTTCTTTGTATTTCGTTTATCGAAGATTTCTTTAAAATTGAATTTTAGTACATTTAAATGGCTAGTATAGAAAATTGCCTAACATACATAAGAGGTCTACCATCGAACTGAAGCAGCTGAAACGCTTACGGTCTCAGTAGTTTTAGCTGATCTAAAGCCATATTTGTTGCGATTCGAGGGTTATAACAATCGATCGCAGAAACAGAATTTACAGTTTTTGTGCAGGTTCCAAGCATTTGCATAGCCAGTGACCGTGTATGGACGGCCATATCTTTACCTGGATTTTAGGCAAGCCTGGCTGGCAGACTAAGTAGTGCTATCCCATATGTATACTTAAATCTCAACCTTTATTCGCAAATTTTTAGGAAGATCATAGAAAACATTCAAAAAACGTTCCTTGACCAGTACTGATCATTTTGCTGGAGACCATTTTCGTGGCAACTAGAAATACATTCTGCTTAAAACCTGCATCCGGCATACTAACTTATTTCATTGTAATCGATTTAATTATAGAAAAATTTTATGAAAATAGAACCAATAGTTTCTGCGTGTAATTTGCATCGCTTAGATCAACGTAGTAAAGCATAAGATAAGCAATAAACCACATTTCATGAATTAACATTGATTCTGAACTTAGTTGTTACCTTAGAAGAAATAATTTAGTAACAACTATGTGGCTAGAGACGGTTACAATGGAACAAAAAAACAAACACAAATTGCTTCCGAAAATATAACAGCTTAAATTTATTTTGCAACTTGTTAGTCAATCGATGACTCTTTGATGTTTTAAGTTAGTGCACTTATGTTAAAGCTATTTACAGGTGGAGTTTTTTGATTTCGTCTGACTTGAACTCGGTTCTCAATCCGAGTGCTTGGCGGACTTCGGCTGGCGTCAAACGCCACGTTAAAGAACTCTGATTCGCCGAACATATCTCCTCTACTTCCGATATCTGTAAAGCCGGTAAGATAAAAGCTTAACTATTACAATTTAGATTATCTAAAGCCGAAAGCACCACCATGTGAACAATGTAAAGTACAACATTGACATAAGGATGAATAAGAATGACTAAAACATTTTAGCAGTAACTAACTATTAAGTTATACTTACACTATCAATATTAAGCAGCAGGGAGATCTGGGTGAGCTTGGAAAATCGATCTCGAATACTCCAACTAGCAACCTTAGTTAGATAGCCAATTAAATACCGCAGCTCCTTATCCAGTTGCATGCCACCTAGCTGCAATCACAAGTTAATTAAACAGAACGTGAAACAGGGTGGAACTTAATTAGATTAGAGAGAACTTAACTTCTATGGGGGCTCAATTGATGAGCATGTTTTTATCAACATACCTAAAAACCTATGCCTTTGGAAAAATTGTACAACAGTTATTGCAGATTTGGTTACTTGCAAAACATTAAAATCACTTGAATCCAATATTAAAGCTGGTGTTGTCAAGTTTACATTCATACCAACAGCTATTACCGTCAAAAACTGTCGGTGTAGCTGAATGGGGGAAGCCATGCTCTAGAAGTGCCAAATTTTTTCGAAGCATACCCGATTATAGATGGTCTTGAGGGCCGCTTTTTCCAAAAGCTGCGTGATCTCAGATGCCACAAGCGCGACGAGCTGTTCGTGGTTTTTGGCCGTGAGCACTTCTCGAAAGGAATTCAGTAATGAATCCAGATTCATAACAAGCTGCTGTATAAATGGACGGAGTCCATCATCTGCTTCCAATTGAGCGAATTCGGCCTTTCGAGGCAACATGTAACAGTATCACACAGAGTACTGGTTAAACGCATGCAAACGAGCGTCAGAAACAACTGTTCCCAAACAGGACAGTATGTAGATCAGTATCGAAATACGATTCAAAGTATGCGTAGCATTTTCTTAATGTGTTAGTTAAGAGAAAAGCTGAGCGACTATTTCAAGTGCACACCTATATACGGTCTCGGTTTGCTAGTTGCCTAAGATATGACAATGGCCACCCTGTCATCTTACTAACTCCTGTTACTATTAATAAAAAAAAACAGAACCTTCTAGCAACTTCTCCCTACCTCCGACAACTGATGGTTGGCTGTATGAAAGGCATCGCAGGCCGCTTTAATGTGCGGCCGTACTGCAGAGGCGCACAACTGACCAATTCCAGCCGATGACAGCGACCTCAGGCGGGCACCTGCTGCACCCACATTTGCAAGACAAGCCTCTAATTTCCCGCGTTCCTGTGCTGAACATCCCGGGAAACGCTTTGGACATTCGGCCTGAAAGAACGCACGTATGAACGAATACACACGGTTAATGTGTTCATCGAAGCCATTGTTATGCAATAAACATAATTTATTATTTAAGCTTTCACTCATATTTTTCTTTACATTTTTACAAGGGCTCATGTAGAACTTTTGAAAAGCAGGAAACCACTGCTTTGAGAAAATGGATTATAGTATATAATAAGTAGAAAAACTCTCTTACAGTGAGTGCAGTAACAAGCGTGTCAACGTAATCGCAAGCCGTGTCGAGGTTGTTCAGCGTCACCACAAACTGCTCCCGATCACGCTCTTGCTCTGCCTGGCTTTGCAATTTACCCTTGAAGAATCAAGCAAGAGATATGTCACGGTCAGACAAATGGTCAGACAAATGAACAATATATGTCCTTTGCTAAGTAGTAAGCTGTTTAAAGACGCTATCTTGCAAATTAAGAACAGGTTTTTTTTAGTATTTTTATTTCTTGTGGGCTCGGTTAGTAGATGAAAACTCAGAAAGTCAAGTTAAACTTGTATAATATTCCCTTCAATTTCTGTGTTTTTAACACATCTTATATCGCATCTTCACTTTTTAAGATCGTTCCACCATTTAGAACTACAGGTTAAAAACGGTTAAAAACGGTACAAACCTCACTAAGATAGTATTGTTATCAATCAAAAGAACTTACAAACCTGCATAATATTAATGGCATGGTCCATCATCGCACCAGTAGGAAAGCCCCTTTGAAGACGCTCTTGGCTAGCGCGCGCGAATTCACCCTCTATTAAAGAGCCCGAATGGTTAAGCATGGCACAGGCACCATCAGCTGATGCCGTCGAAAAGGCTCGTCGAAGACATTTTTTCAAAAGGAAAAATACATCGTCTAGTAGGGAAGACGTTGGAGAAGATTCCTCGAATGACTCCAATTCAACAGCCTGGAAAGATAATTAGTTTAACGAAACATCATAAGCGTATGCAATCGTCTATAACAACGCGGAATTTATTTGGTAGCCAGACAGCGCGTTCTGTACAAGTGAATTTAGAAACCACTTGTTTAACCTCGACACACGCATTATGTCACGTAGATAATACCAATGTGAAGTCCATATATATATATATATATGGATTCGATAATAACGAATTTATATTATTATTATCGCATCCATACATATATATATATATATATATATATATATATATATATATCTGGAACAATAATCACCTTTTTAACAGATTCAACCATGAAAAACTCCTCAAGGCAGATGTAATAGCTCATTAGTTCTTGCATATCTTTATTTAGTTCGCACACAGCCACTTTTTGATTAAGTTCGGTTATCCGAGATGCCTTCACCTCCGGCGATAGCTTCGACTGTTCCAGATCGTCCTGCTTTGCAAAGATCAATCGGTATGAATTGAATTTTAAATGCCCTATGCTTGATGGTTAATATTGTAGCCATTATTTCATAAAACAGTGCATTTGTTCACAATCGCTATGATATACACAAGACGATATAAGTAATGATAGTCAACTTATATTTGCTAGTGTAATTTTTTGATCTCAAATAAAAAAAAACTTACATTGACGCGACGCTTGATAAATCGAAAATAGAGTTCTGCGTGTTTATGAATTAGTGCTAGCTCCTCCAAAATCGCGTCTACCTGAAAAACGTTTTACAGAACAGGTCATGATTTACTGGGTTCGAAAGAGAATAAAGGTACACCAAATAGCTATCTTGGCCAGGCAAGATGCATATTTTCAAAAGTGAATGCCATTTCAAAAAATGTCACTAACCTCTGAGAAAGTATCAGGATCTTCTAGCTTTACAACTGGTATAGACTTGAACTAGCCACCAAAATTCTAAACAAAATTAAAGATATAAAAAGCCTTTAATTTAGATGCTCACTTCCTTAGTCTCAATAAGCGGATCCTGCGTCGCGTAGAGGTTGCCAGAACTTGAATTACCCCGGAGCCCGGTTGACGATCGATCTGTTAGACTGCCCTTGATCAACGTGTCCTGTAGAAAAAATAAAAAAGAACAGGAATTCGTTGACGTATGTCTCCAGTGCTTGCACTAACTATGACAAAGATTCCTTGGCATGAAAATAATCCAAATAAATATAAAAAACATTTCCAGTATCGGCATGACGATAAGATGACTTAGATCAAAGGTAGAGATTCAGATCTCTTAGTAACTTTCGTCACAGTATAGAAAGAATTTATAGACTTCAACTCCTACTTTACTTTCAGAAAATACTACAACCAATATAAAATATCTTTATGAATCCTACGTTATTTTGTCATCCGACTTCGAAGATATACAATGAATCATGCTTACGATACAAATAAACACTTTTGCGAATAACCCTTTACCTGAGCCTTTTTACAGCGCCGAGCAAGCACACGACTTGAAAGCAGTTCCTGGAAGATACGTCGTTGTTGAACACAAACTTCCCGATGGAGGATCTCTACAAGAACGTACAACTCACCGTGACCTTAAAAAGAATTCAAAAGAAGACAACGAGAATACGTCTATCAAAAAATGTCAAATCTAAACTTAAAGGTCTTATAACAACAACCAGTCTGAAAGAAATGTGGGCTTATATCACTTCAGTCTTATAATGAAACAATGCATTTTATTATATACCTAGTTTGTTGTCGAACAATCATAACTGCATACTTAGTCGTCAACATGAACAGTACGTAAAACTTTTTAACTTATGATTCAAACTTGAAATTAAAAACATTTTCGGTTCTGAAGCCCAAATGTATGTATAAGACAGAAAGAACCGTCTACTTATTAATACCGTAATATCTCTCCACGAGTGGCTGGTGGATTTCGATCAGTCGAGCGGCGTCTTCAAAGAGCTCACTAAATGAATCGGCAAGCGCTACGGCATATCTTTTGTCCGACTTCGACATACTTTGTGCAATTCGAAGGGATCGGCATGCATTATCCGTCACCTAATAGAAGTTAAATAAAGTCGATATTTGTAAACTTCATAGATTAGCATAATAGTGGTACCTATTATGTATATAGATAAATCTATTTGGTGAAAATTTAACAAATGAAAATTTACGTAATCTAGGGTAGCCATTAGGAACATCGCACCCTCAACATGAGGCATCAGAAACTTGTTCGCTTATCACTCCGCGAAACCGAATTAAATGCTTTGAAAAAACAATCTAAGCTGTTTATAGCTGGATAATTGAATTAAATTACTTAACTTTAGCTCGGCAGATGCAAACAGATACTTGTCGTGAATGAATCGACTATCGTTTTAACTAGAAGATAGGATGTACGCAAAAAGAATAGAAAAACACCATTTAATGTAAAAAAACTAGATAGAAAATTTCTTACTTGTCGGCAAAGGTAGTTGGAGTATTTCGTTAAGCCCTCGTGCTGTTGGTTAAGAAGTGGGAAAATCTTAAAGAAACGCTCGATTGATGCCTGCAGATTAACACAGAAATCAGCAAAAAAGCAGAATAGTTTATCTAAGCAGAATTACATTTTTGTTTACATCAGTGGTTAATAAGCGACCGAAACGGTTCTTCCTACCTGATCCGATCGGGAGAGCGCTTCATTAAATCGCTGGGTAACTATGTCGATAAGCGTGCCTTGCGCAGCTGTGAGGGCGCTGAAGGCTTCTTCTAGACTTGTTCCTTCAACCATTTCGTCACCAACACACGACCTCAGCCCCCGTTGATCCAGCCCTGCAAATAACAAAAAACAAGATCGACAGCTACCGATGTACAAACGTAAACAGCCGAGAATCAAGGGAAAAGTCTTCCCAAATAACAAATGGTGTCGATTGCTGAAACAAGTTTAGATTTACCCACAGACGATAAATCAAGCTCAAAGTGAAAACCAGAAAGTTTGACAGCTACTACCATTGAGACGACTCAGACCAAAAAAACTGAGAAGATTTCTTGACCATTTGTCACTAACGTTGAAGAACTCTTGGTTCTACATGTTGACATAATGGATCCATGATGTAAAGCGATTTCTTTTATCATTAGTCGTTTATTGCTTACCGAGAAATCGATGCACGTGAGCGGCTGCCTGTTCAAAGTCTTCATCATGGAGAGCTGTTTTTACGCCTTCAGTACACGCACGGAGATCCATAATGTCCTCTACACGGCGTAAACTACCAGCTACTAGACTCTGCAAAACAACAGTCAAAGAAAAAAATTAATCACTACATAAATTACATTGAAAAACATGGGTTGTTGAACAAACATATTAGAATTTGCTGTAAATGTCGCAAATCTATATAGCTGACTTTATCGACAAATATATGAAATTTTTAATTTGGTAGCTATAATTAACATATAATTTGATATCAGCATTTTAAGACAAAAACAGTTTACCTTAGCTAGGTCAAGTTGTTTCACTTTTCGAGAGATATTTTCGGCTAAACAGGATGTGTACGTTACAATCTTTGTCAGCTCTTCCGTATCACTATGAAGGAACTGAAATGCTGGTCTACAGTAAAATTGAGCGAATTAGACTCTGTTCTTAGGATAGAAAAAAATATGTGACAAACTCAGACAACAGCAGTATATAGAAAATAAAGCAACTCAAAAATATTGTATATTATCATATTTAATTTTTAGATGATTTTCTGCCAACGGACCAAGCAAAACTTGCCCGCTGAGCTAATACTGATTGGCCGACGCGAGGACAACTTTGATTTTTACACATTAACGGTAGTGAAAAATAGAACTCACACAACTTTATGTAACTTAAGGATTTTTTCACCAATGTTGGCATGGCTGAGAACCAGTTCCTCCAACCGCTTACTGGTTTCTTCCTGAAATATTGTCATAACGCAACACAAAACCATTACTTTTTTAGTATTGCATAGACGTGCACAATTTATGCTGCAAGCAACACAGCCGCGAAGGCAGATGACGTAAGTAGCAAAACAAGTTCATTCTCAAATCATAATATAATTAATTAAGATAATTATTGGCCGATCAGAAATGTTAGCCTGCTAAACAAGTTTCCTTCATATTTAGGATATCAGTAACTTGACACGTTTTCAATTGCTAGCAAGTGCCCTTAAGCTCACAAAAAGAGGTCACCAGTGGAGTGTTAATAAACATTTAATAACGTGGAGTAATGAACGAAGAAAAATTCATCGAATCACGACCGATTCTTTGATTTTCGCCCGTACTTGCGAATCACATAAAATCTATGTATAAGAAATGTATAACGATATCTGAAAAGAGCATCCATCTACCGAAGAAGGGAAATATTTAGCTCGCTTATTACTTTGATTACAAATTGGTATAAAGATGGTTAATAAACATTTAAAAAAAATAATCTATTCGAAATCGTATCATCATTTCCTTGCAGAAAATGTGAAACTCAATTACCGCGAGGACCCTAGTTTGAATCCTCTCTGAACATGCACCGTATTTTAGCTATAGATTAAGTTAACACAACATAACTCGATTTGTCAGTCTATCTTTTATGCTAATATATATCATTGCGTTCATTTATTCAAAATCTTACATGACATTATATGAGGTGCGCGTACCACATAATTGCCTATTGTGAGTTCGATCAAAACACTGCTATACAGATACTGATGGCTGGCGCATCTTGCCATCCAGCTGTCGAGAAATCATTCACTCACTTCTCTCACGGCCAATTCTCTTAAAAGGCGCTCGGCCTCTTCCAGCTCCTCGCATGCCTCCATACCGCCTCTTAGCTCAACTCGTTATTGTTCGCCTATTTTGCACTGCACCAAATCACCTGTAGTACAATTACCGCCTGATTCACTTGAAAAGTATTGACGTCTGTTTGTCTTCGAATTATGATTCTATTTTCATTCCCTGCAACACCCCTGTATTGGGGTCACCCCTTCGTGATGATGATGCCTGTATCAACTGAATTGCGACTGACGTGTTCGATCATCTAATGTCGCTGCAGTGCTATAGAGCCGCAGCTGTGTCTAACGGCCCTCGCCCAATTCGTCTGCGAGGAACCGCACTCACCGTGCATGCACATGTTACCACCAAACAAATATGACAGAGAATTCGTCTGCTTAGTTGAGAGGGAATTTTTTATTTCAGATCGCCAAAACAGCCACACAGGAAACAGCGAATCAGTAAGCAATTTAACGATTATTATGAGTGAATTCAAAGACAACCGTAAATTTGCTAACAACGGCTTAAAACCTTATTAATTAACCATATTAGTGGCATGGAGAAATTCACCTGTGCAAAATGTTTATCGTTGCTAGTACGTTGTATGTGTTGCCTGGTTTAGTACCATCTATTGCATCCTGGCTTAGTTTTCGTCGATAGGTACCCATTTTATGTTCGGAATTATTATACTGGGAATATACGTAGGGTTTGGCAGGTGGCACAGTTTGACATCTTTTTCCTCCTTATTCTACACATATTCAAGTCGTAACGTATGCTTTGGCAAGACAAAAAGCTAACAGGAGCTACTTTAGAAGCCGGCAAAAACTGGTGAAAATTATATTTGGCGGGCTAGTTTGATTTTTGTGCAGAGTTGAAATTTCTCTCCACCAACGCGTAAGCTAATGTCCTATTGCCCTTAACGCAGCTTTAATTTAAATTAATTATTATTTACGGTGTCTTTGAAAACGATAAATGTACCTTAGTCTCATGTGTGAATGACGTGTATTTCGGTATCGTCTACGAGCGCCAAATATGGGTGGTTCTTCATGAGCATTGAGATGGTATAAACACATATTCTGCAATATCACGTTTGCATAAAAGGTTCTGTAATCTTGTCAATGAAGTTAAACCATAATAATAATTATTATGATTATCTTTGTATACTATTATAGACAAGAACCTGTAGCCTAACACTTGTCTAACGACTTGGATACTGCTAAAATATGCTCTCTGGAAGTGCTGGCAAGGAGAATCTCTAGCATGAAGTCGAATAGGACATTAAAAAGTCGTGTTCTATGCATCCGCAAAACGTATCTGGTTGTATTTAATATGCACATGAGTTGTCGTTTCATAAAAAATCAGTGGATTCGTAAATGGATAACCCACGAGGACGCGACTATTATTTACATAGACTTATTTCCAACCTATATGTAGCTAACTAATAAAATGAGCCAAAAGAACCCATTAAAGAACATTAAAACGGTTATCATTGTTTAGAATTCTCATTTTCTTTCTAAAGCTTGTCATTTCTCTTATCAGCGAGTTCATATATAAGCGTAAACCAACATAACAAATTTATGGCTTCTCTTAACCAATCATATTAAATTCCCTAAATTAAATGAGTCTGGCTATTACACAGCCCCTTATAAAGTGCCTGTAAAACATAGTGAGAGAGGTTCGTAATAACGTGATTGGATTTGTAAAATACTTGTAATATAAAAGTAAATTATGCATCTTATGTAAAAACTTAATGTTGATGTGGTGAAGAAACGATAGTGCATGTATCGTCAGGGTTATAAGTATGCAGCTCAATTAGACCCAAAATTTCGTTTATTTATAACATAATTTGAAAAAACTGTTCTGCAGAACGGTTTAGTTAACAGTGCAGTGGCGGGGCAACTGACATAGGTGGCAAACGATTAATACTAAATGCCAACAGTCAATAAAAATCACTCAAAACTGACTGTATCAATTAATTTTTTATTGGGACTTCTTCGGTCCACAGCACGATTTTTTACTAGCTTTATCATGTTTCACCCTTATGATGTGAGTCATCAGTCCCCCACCCACATCATCCAATCTCCCACAGCCCCGTACACGCAACTGACTCGGCCGAACCTCTGCAGCTCGGTTTGAGGTAAGTTTTGAGTTATCGCAAAAGTACTACCCACACCCATTGGGTACGAAGCAATATTTACCCAATATTGATATCACTTTCTCTTGTGATAAAGTTATTCAATGTGATTTACATAATTAATTTGGCTGTTATTTCAATTCTACATGTTCTCCTAATAATCAGTGCAGAAACTCGTAAAGATTTGCTTTTCAAACTTCGTAAATAGAGAAAGTTACTTATTTAAGGAAATTTGCTTAATAATTTAATGTTTTACTTGTTGACTATTATGTACAAGCATAGTCTCACATTTTTGACATGTCGATGCTCAATCCATTCTTCTCAGGTCTATTCAGCCATAAGCGATTAGCGTACGTTTATATTTACAGGAACTGCAGCCAAATTATTTGTGTACACTCGCTGCATTGCCCGATTAAGTGTTATGCGCTTTGCTACATTTTCTGGAGGTCGCCTTTGTGATATCGGTTCGTATTATCCATTAATGTAGAGATTTTTATCGCACGACAACTATGTGTGGCCCTCTCACAAGGTTCTACTCCAGTATAGATTTGAATATAGCCTATCTTTAGGCCTATTTCTGGGTCTATGATCTCGTTCCTCGCACTTTCTATAGATTACCCTCTAGTAACAACGCCTTAGGAAAAGCGGTCTTCCACGCGCCCGCTCAACCAAGTCCTTCAATTCTACAGGACTCCGGGGTATGCACAATGGGTGTCTGCATTTTTCCCCACTCTGTAATGTGAAATGAAGTCCATTCGCATAACGATTGTACTACAATACAGTCTCCATGGCGAAGTGTTCGTAACACGACCCTGCCAGCGACTCCGTACCCCTTTCGCTATGATGCCACACCATTACGTTGTGGGTGACTCATCATCAGTGTATCCGCGTTGACTGATGTCAAATAGCGGGTTTGCAAATTGCGTTGTCATACTCTCAGTTTGATTAAGGTGCCTAAAACGATATATGTGTCACCACCCGGAAGAGTTCGATGCTGTTGATAATATGATGCTTTTACTAGATATTGTAAACCTGTGTCAAAGATAAAAAGTCCTTCATATTTATGATACTAGTGAAGTTTGCCTACGTTGAATTGTATTAGCTAGCCATATTATACAGGTGGGGCTGCATAGCTTTTGCGTGACGCGTCTCATTCAATTCGTTTATTATACTACCTAAAATTATAAACCATATCAGTGGAATACACAATGCCAGCTCTTGGTTTGGTCTGATGTGGCACCTATTTGAGAGACTCATACTCATTGCCCCTATGATACAGTAAGCGGGGTTCTGATACGACGTCAGATTTACTGGCCCCTGCCAACCGTTTGGGGTTCTGTCAAAAGTGTTCTTTAAAACTATGAAAGGGCAAAGCGGCACAATAAACTATAGCAATGCTTTGAGCCAGATCGGTGAATATTTATGGCTTTTTCTCTATCGAGCGAATTCGAAGTTACGCTGCTAAGGTTACAATGGTCGCCCATCCTGTACGTTTGTTCGTCTGTGCATTTCTAACTTCGAAAGCGTTGGCCTCTGAGTTAAACTGCTGAGAGAGAGTTCTCGAGGTTTATTCACTTCTACCCAAGGACGCTTGGGAAAAGTGGAGCTACGGTTAGACTGCGTAAAATCATAATAAGATTGACTTACTATTGTAAATAATTAATAATAATAGTAACTTTTATTTTTTGTAAAAGATTAACGTAGAACCTCTTATTGATGATCCGTTCGGCGTCAAACTAATCTTCTGTTTGTTTTGTATGGACAGCGTTGATCTGTTGAACACGACTAAACTCGATGCACTGGCGTACTTCATCGTACCTGTATGAGTCTAAAACATAATGCTTGTTCTATTCATAATATGCCCACAAAATATATCTGCCGGCGATTTCTATTTATCTTATCAAATTATTCTACAATTCAAGACAGCTGTGGTTCTGCGAACGAAAGTGGAAAGCCGTGACAATACAGTCCGAAATTTTTCCTCTCCTAAACGTTGCTCAGCCCATGCGAGAAACACTTCTAGCGAAAGTGCGCTCTCCGGCATCCCTGAACGTGTTATTTCAATATATGAGGTTTTGTTTAGACACTACTGTAGTTTCCTAATGTCGCTGCTGTTGCTGCTTCGACTGTCGTGACTCGTCAGGATAGCGACCGTTCGGGGACCGAATAGCTACGGCTGCTGGCGGGACCCCAGCGAGGGCAGACAGATTGATCCTCTCCTAATGCACGCCAGCATCTAGCCACAGTTCGGTCTGGCATCATTGCTTGCTAGCGCGCCGACCCTGAAGCTGCGTTCGGGCAAAGCAACCGATTCATATTCACAGGATTTTATAACACTGCTAGGCAACGCCGTACGCAGACAGATCAGCGTACAGCACAGGAAAATCAAGATTTGGATAGAATAATTCGACAGGATAGACAACGAAAATTGGCTTGTGCACGCCGGCGCACCTCAAGGCGGGACAGGTGTGCTGAGAACGTTTAATTGCTTGTAAGCACTTCTTCAATCAGCATACGTCGGCGGCATGCGTTCTCATCTGTACCGTTCCGTTGAAACTGCTTCTACGCAGACGACGTTTATACGACCAACTGCTGTTTTTGTCACAGCGTGCAGCAGCACAACAGCTCTGTACGCCCCGATACCGAGTTACAGTCGATAAAGTCGGCACCAACGCTGGTGGGATCCCGTCGGTGGCAATCAAGACGCTCTCTTGATAGTGTAATTTATCTTTCTTCTGTGAAGACAAGTGTCGCTCAGTCAGCCAAGGGCGATTCGCGGGCGACTAGTCCGTAACATATAGGCAGGCAAATGCGCATGAGGTTGGCCTGTTTTTACCACGTTACGCTATATCGTTTGCCGTGTGTAAACGGAGTAACTCGGCGAACAACAGAATTAGTATGTGCCCGTGAGTTACTCGCCAGTCGTGGTGAGTGGTGATACTAAGTTGCTGATAATGCAAGTTGGCATCAACTTTTCTGTGAATGTGCTCCCAAAAAAGGGAGCAATTTAAGAACTGAGAAGCAATACAACATTGTATAGTCGAAGAGGAACAGTGAAGTAGGCCTTCGAAGGAAGCACTGCATGATGGCGACCGTAAGCCCCGTAGAAGTAAGTTTTTTTTCTACTCATACCCATGATTGCTGATGGCCGATTGAAAACGGCATCTGATCATTTCGACGGCTGCATAGGCTTCCTGCGCTTAGATGCTTTTATGCTGTAGTTCAGAAGCTGGCCTTATCAATTACGGTGGTGGAAGAAACTTTACCGATCTACATTACGATTTACGCGATACGTTTGCGGCCTTGGAGCTAGCTAACATTCTGCAATATGTAACGAATGCTACTGCTCAACTATGAAAAGTCAATATAAACTGCAGCTAACTGTTATAGCTAAAACACATTTTTATTATTCAAATCTATCATAGCTTTTTTTCTTTTCTTATTTTGAAGCCTTATGGGCACTGGAACAAGTTGAAGTAGAAAATAATTTTGCACTTTTCCAACGGAATAGGCAGAAGTAAACTTCCTGCTAGAAGCTATAAAGCCAACGAAACGCTGGGAAAGCGGAACTTTTTGTGTCTATCCGACTATCGTTTAAACATAAGAGCATTAACTACGGTTCGAGCTTGTTATACAACAAAATCAACAACAGTTCAGACATTTTCGGAAAATTTGTTGTGGTTCCTAGATGACTAGTTGGCTCGCTTGCGTTGAGCAGTGTCTTTTAACGCGTACGACTATTATGTTCATGATTTTTTTGGCGGGTTGCGTTTCAAATTGTCAAAGTTTTTCTTGTGACAGAGAGATTGTTCAGAGTCATTACTTGGGTAGACGATGACACTTTCTCTGCCAGTCTACTCGACATTCAATGTTGTCTCTGCTCGCGGTCAGCTCGATGACGAGGTAGTTTCTCCAGCGCAGCAGGGCTGCTCCTGCTAATTAGTCTTAATTAGATTCATCGTACTTATTTCACGTTTCCGCTCATTCTCCGATACCGTCTTGTTTCGCGAGTCCCTCTATTTAAAGAAATCTCAGCGCTAGAATTGGATATGACGTGAAGAGTTTTAAAAAAGAGCGATGACCCGAATGACAGTGATAGTTATCAATGTGCAATAAAGACAGAGGATACAGTCGGAAGTGAACAAGAATATATCATTTTAGTTAGTTAAAGTAGAAAATTGTAAACGAGTCCTAGAAAGAAATGTCCATTAGTTAATTTGTTTAGCGATGGGTAAGTGTTTCGACGAGGAGCCACATGATGAAGCCCTCTGTTGCTTGAGGATCGCCTCCGAACGTTTTGTTGATGCGGCAATTTTGAAGAGTCGTTGTTGAATGCTGTTAGGTTAAGCCCGTTTGACAGCTGGTTGGTATCAGATCTATCAATTCATTTAATCAAAAAATTGTACGACTTTTGATACTTCGTTATTAAGTAGTCCTGAAGGAATTTTTATTTATTATTATAGGAACTGAGAGATTATGAAACGTGTAAATCAATGTACTAGCAACAGCTAATTTATCAACACATAATAGCGTACTCGCTCTAATAATTTAGTTATATATAAGAATTTATCTTAGATAGTTCCTTCTCCATATTTTACTAAAAGCAAATTGTTTTGTGCTACTGTACATGATCAGCTTTTACGCTTAGAGTTAAAAAGATTTTATATTATAGCTTAGATTCGTTTTACGTACATGTACGTGCAATACGTGTGTTAGCATAAGGCTGACATCATGACGAGCAGTAGCGCCAGACGGGCACCATCTGCAATGCGTTACAGATTAAGCTTAAGAGGCTCAAAACCGAAGAAAATTACTGAGTAGAGAATTGGAATTTTTCCTTGCCCTAATATATATATGCAACGAGATACAGGGTTAACACAGAGGATGCTGGTACACAGTTGTTTACTGCCGAATGTCTGCCTCGATCGACATTTTGTCATTGCTGAAAGGAAACAGTGGACGCGATTTGTCGAGAAGTGTCTAATACTCATCAACGGTATATTGTAAATCTAACACACCGCACGATGACGGTACGGTTTTTCAGTCTTTCAGTGCTTCCAACTTGCTGTTCCTTTAATAAGTACAATACCTTGCTCACCACTAGTCGCTAAGACAGCAGTCAACAATATCAACTGGCGTCGATGGAATTCGGGCCACGGTTCCAACACCCCTTTGCTGCCATCGTCCTGCTATTGTTGTGTTGATGCTAAGCAAAACACCGTAGCGATTTCTATTTGCACTGCAAAAAAAATTCTGTTTTTGCCGGATCCTTCAGACCTATTCCACAAACTGGTAGTTCGCTTTCTCTGAAGCCTACTATTGCGGGCTCGTATGCTGTCCTCGCTGCTATCAGTGGTATAGTGGCTGAACTAGCGGAGGAAACAGACACGTGTAATGTGGATAGCTATTTCATGTCAAGGTGTTGCTTGACTGTCGTTTGCATCCTCGGGAATCTGTCGGCCTGTGATGCGACTGAGAATAATTAATACCGGACAAAGTAATACGTTACGTCTAAGTGGAAGCGTTACAATAGTAGCGGCTTGTCTTCTTCGGTTTTGTCCTGAGAGCTTGAAGCGAATCTTCAACACTAACTGTGAACTTGTAACGAACGCCTCGATCTACCACCAAAGCATTAAGTAGTTCTATGATTTTTGGACAGTTTACTTGTAAACGTTCCTTCTTCTTCTTTATTGCATAGCTTTTAAGGTACCATTTTGTCTTTGACGTATCGTTTATCTTTTAGTACTGGTTTACGCTTACGATGAATATATTTATTTTAAAAATGGATGACCTTATTCAAGTTCTTGTTATTTATTACTTTAAAATATCTGTTATACCAACTAATCCGATTCAAATACTTCGTAACATCCGTTAATTAGATGTAAACAAATAAGTGGTGGAAATATTAACAATCAAAATCCGGATAATTTTAACATATAATAGCTGAACAGCAGTTCATCGCTCACTGTACGCCATTGTCGTCATGAATAAATAAAAATAAGAGAATGGCCGAAATCGATCGTATCCAGTCATAATCACGGAAGCAGCGGTACGCCGACGCGATTGCCGCATCTCGAAGGCACCTTCGTACATCACGTCCCTTACCCCCTGTTCAAGTGCTTTGTCCTATCGACCGCCCGCAGTTCCCTTGACCTGAATTTTCTTTTGCTATCCTTACATCTCAGCTGCGGAACTAGTCATGTTCAATCTATATTTTTACATCTCTGTACAGCACAAAACGCTTCGTGACTCTCAATCTGTGCGAAAAATGTTCTTTTTTTTCGACCAGTAGCTCTTGTTTGTCGTGTCAGCGACCTATCGGAAACCTTAAAGTTGAACTAACTAATGTGCTACATACTAGATACGTTAATTACACTAGAAATTAAAGAAGAAATGATAGATAAGACAGGCAAGTATTTACCAACTGTTCTTGTAGTCAGGAATAAAAAACAACCCGCCTCTAATGATAACGATAAAAAAAAAGTAATCAACAGTTACTGCTTAAAACAAATCTTTCAAGTTGTATTTGATATACGTGTTCTCGTTGGAAATTTCTCCTTGGAAGCTCCTCCAATTTACTGTTTCGCCTGGTCAGCTACCATTGAAGGTCAACAGCCACTTATTTGAAGCAGCGTGTGAAGGCGCTTCCCTCAATGATAGCGGAAATAATTGAGCGAGCTATCTTTGCGTATTTTAGAAGGTAACGGACGGATAAATACACAGCTGCTGGTGGCAGCGAAAGTGTTTCAGAGAGATAACTAGATTGGAGCACATGCAGCCATAATTCTTGCGCTTTCTAATCATTAGATAAGGAATTTTCTGACAAATCCATGGCAATAACGTGCGGTACGACAATAATAATTTTTTCTAGATGCTACCCTGTCTACTCCGAGAATGAATTGCACACATAAACTTTCTTTCGTCAAACTTTTTCGATAAAGTATATATCGTATGTTGTTTACGAATAGTCAATATATGGGATCGCATTCAAAATTATTTTTCCTTCACTTAAGCTTTGCCCTGCAACATTTGCCTCTAAGCTCAATAGTATGGGGCTACGAGGATGTCAGTGCGAAATTAACGCTTTGTTGACTAATAGTAACTAGATTTAATATAAGCTTTGTGTAGGAAACGTTCTACTGCATGCGTTTTAACCACTTCGTCACATGGTCTTCAAACTTCGCTAGAAGAAACTCTAAATTTTCAACGAAATGTCCAACTTATACCTACTCACCTACTTATCAGTAGCACCTATTGATTATAAAGGGACAGTGCGTAGCGAATCGCTGCCCATTGTCCCTTACGCTTTCGTTACGATCGATGGAAAGTCTATACACACCAGAACCGAATATATTTATCCTGTCTGCGTTTTGTGTACGGGTCCGAATCCTTACCCTTTCACAATCGTTCGACCAAGTGATAGTTGAATAACGCTTATATCAAAACACTAATAGAAGACTATGCGATACTGTCTGTATTCAGTATATGAGTGGCTGAAGGTAATCGAATATAGGCTTTTACCAGGTATTTTATAGGTTGTTGCTAGTCTAGCGTATATCAATCCCATGTATACAACTTCCAACATTATTCATACAGTTAATCCGCTACAGAAGGCTCGATTAGAGTCGTGCACCGTAAAAAGCTGTCAGTATGTAATTGTGTAAGATTGAAAAATAACTTGCTCTGTTGATTGGAGCAGACTTTATTGGCCCCTTTAGACGGCTATTAAATTTACGTTCCAGCAAATAGGACAGATCTGAATCTGCAATGCTGATCGGATACTATATAGCTACCGAATAGCATTACGATAAGTAATCCGGGGTCACTGAGCGAGCTGATGCAGTAGACGCAAACAAAGCCTTCCACATATATGCAAAACCACAGAACCATCGATCAGAGTCAGTCGACGTGCGTGCGAACACGAATACCATGCTTCAATCAAGCATGCAAATGAATACTAATACAATTCAACCGGTTTGCTACATGTAGGGGGTATGCGTTGTAGTTACCGCCGCCTCTGATATACAC